TGTTCTCTCGCGCGAGAGAAACTCTCTCAGGATGAGGAGTATAGCTGCCGGGGTTTAGTCTTTAAATGCCTCAAGCTGCGAACGAGTAATTTCCAACGCGAATACAAAGAATCCCTATAACAATGCGTTTCGATTCTTGCGAGTCGCTCGACTTCAGCGGTGAGATGCTTCCCTACGTATGAGAGGAAGAGAAAGAGAGAGAGAGATACCTCATTAAAGAATTATAATTCTATTTAAATACAATTATAATTAGATGCAATTACATAATTTGTATAACTGCTCCGCGCGGAGGTTATTATGATATTTTCAAAATTGCTTTCCTACTCCGGGAACGTCGAAAATGACTCGCGCGCGGCATTCGCTCCTTAATTCTGCCATTTTTGTCTGAATTATTCGCAAGAACGCGCGCGCATCATCTCTTTCGGAAGGTCTGATGAGATTTTAATTCTTCAACGAGAGCAGAGGGTCTCCCTTGTTCTTGGATCGCTTTGGCCGGTGCAATTTGTAGCGGAGGCACGGAGAGAGAAGCTCTGAAGTGAGCGAGCAGGGAGACAGTTGTGCATGTGCGCGGGCCCACACACCTTGAAAATTGCTAACTATTTTCATCGTCCCGAGGCGGCCATTGTCTTTAAGCGCGAGTCACCTTTTTTTAAGTCCTGTGCATTACGGCGCGGGACTCGATCGAACTTATAAAAAAAAAAACCAACTAATCGTAATCCCGTCGGGGCTAATCGCCGCGCACGGAAAGAACGATTTTGCTCAATCATCTAAAAATTTAGATACTAAAAATAATTAAGATCACATCGAGATAATTATGTGAAAAACTGTAGCACGATGAATAGTGTTGCAAAAAGTTTCGATTAATAATTAAGATACCAAGACCATACCAAGATAATTATGTAAAAAAACTGAAGCACGTGCGGTGAATAGTGTTCAGCAAAAAGTTTTGACATTCCAGCAACCAGGCTGAGCGTCTTACATAATTATTTTGGCAATCCAACAAAATTATTTTTGCAGATCTACAGCTACATTTTTAGATACTTCAAAATCAAAATATTTTTTTCCGTGCGATAATATGAATCTCTTAGCAAATTTTTATTTATAAAACCTTGTGTAATACTTTCAGAAATTATTCAAGACCGCGACAGAATATTATTATTATTGTAATTTTACGTGTTCATATAATAGTAAATTAAGCAGTTGAATTTTTTACACAACATTTTTATATTCTGGCAATTAGTTTAAATTTCCAATAAAATTATTTTCAGATTTGTACCCAGCGAAACTTTTGGATCTTCCAGCAAAATCGTTCTTTCCGTGCAACATTAACAAATGACGAAGTTTAACCTTATAATTAGAATCGTGAATTATTAAACAAAGTACACGAAACACTTACGAGATCTCCCCTTCATATTCATATTTGAGCGCCTGAGGTACCGAGTTCTTTAATAAAGAATGATGTTCTAAAATCATTTCGGTTCGTTGACTTTTCATTGTAAATATCCGTTTTATCGCGATTATTTGTTATACGAGTTAAACGATTCACAATTACAATTAAAGGATAACTTTGTTAGATATAATTTAATAATATTCGCTCAACAATTCTTAGGAGAAAAAACAATTATAAATGTACAAACTGCAAACGCTGAAATCTGCACGAGAAATGAAAGTTTTATTGTTAATGACAAATATACCAAACTGAAACTTTTTTGTCTTATTTTTTAACATAATCTTCAAGCAGATTGAAACATCTTATTACAAAGTTTAGTGGTTTTAAATAATTTTGAAATAGTTTTAAAATTAGTCTGGAAGAAGTCAATTTCTTGCATCATTTTCCACATCCTTTCATTAGTGAGAAAAAAACGTTTCCCTCGGCTGTTAGTTTAGTTAGAAATTAAGTGTGTTTGCAATTTCCTGTAATTTTATGCGACGATCAGTATCGTGAAAGTTGTTCAACGTGACGTTTATTGACGGCATTGCGTGCAGTCGCTCGACTCTCTATCGTTTCTCGTCGAATGATATATCCTCTCTTCTTAAACTGTTTACATCTCAGACTTATTTATATGAAATTATATTTTCACACTTTTATTATAAATTTCCAGTGATCTTTGTCTTGCATCCAAAAATTGAATAACTACGCGCATATCTCTGTACACGGAAAGAACGATTTGGTTGAAAAATCTAAAAATTTAGCTGAATACAGATCTGAAAATAATTTTTGTTCAATAATCAAAATAATTTGTTAAAAATAATAGGAATTGCTATAAAACGTTTTGATATTCTAGCAATCATATACGTATTTTGACTTTTTAACAAAATTATTTTGATTATTGAACAAAGATTATTTTTTGATCTGGATCCAGCAAATTTGTTCTTTTTGTGTAGATCATTAATCGCAAACTGAAAAATAATTGACATCCACACGCGATAATAAGTAAATAGTAGTAATCATTGTTTTACTATACGGAAAGAGCAATTTTGTTGAAAGATCTAAAAATTTTGCTAAAAACAGATCTGAAAATAATTTTTTGTTAAATCATCAAAATAATTTGTTGGAATGTTAAAACTGATAAGCATTGCTATCAAATGTTTTGATGTTTTAGCAATCACTTTGACTTTTACACAAAATTATTTCAATTATTGAACAAAAATTATTTTCAGATCTGGATTCAGCAAAATTGTTCTTTCCGTAGATAAATAACGTTTTTAAGATTTACCGCAGGGACGAGCCGAACTATCGATATAGCACTAATGTTATTAAAATTAAAAAGAAATTAATCGCTGCATAATGTCTTTTAACTTAATATTTCATTAAGAGATTTTATTAACTCATTGTTAGTCAAAGTTAATCTGAGATCTCGAGTTGACGATCCGAAGTAAATAACGATTCATTAAAGACGGCGACTCGAACAACATCGGGATGCACCTGCTGTCCACTTTTAAATGCTGCGCGGTCTTTTGCGGATGGCCGAGCCCGCCGGTCGCATGACATCGTGGTGATTATATGGGCCGGCGTCTTCGCGTTCCGCACGAGGGATCGGCCGTGACGGCTCCGTTCATAAAACAGACCCGATAATGAATTCATTACACGTTGCGCTCAGGTGCCCCGATAATTACGAACACAGTGACCACGATCGTACTGGAAAACTGACGGTAGGAGGGCGACGCCGACGGGGACGTGTGCCAATCAGTGCGAGGGTCCCGTAATCGCTAATTGCACGGACCACCGGTCAGAGTAAACTGTTTTCTACGTTACTAAGTGGCAAACTCGAAATTTATTGATACGTCCGGCTTTATTATCCATAATTAGCGGGACAGATTTGACATACCGCAAAGTCGCGGTCAGCTTCTCACCGCCAAGTTACGCCTTCGAGAATCCGAATAATTATTTGGCGTCGACTTCACTGACGTTATGAATATTAAGGAAACTCGGGAAAAAGTGACGCGTCTCCTCTTTGCGTCTCGCTCGACTTGTTTCATATTTATGCGCTCGCGGAGCGCCCGTTAAATGATTTGCGACAGAGCGTGCCTGCCGATTGAATATCTGGTTGATCGCCGAATCAGAGATGTAATTTGTATTATTAAGGCCGACAATATATATTTAGCGTCGTGGCCCCGGGTTACCAACGGTTAGTTGCCTGTAGCGCTGAATGAATGGTTCGTTAGTACCTTCTCGACAGCGAAATGCTTATATACTTATAATAAATACAATAAACTTCTCGGACTGCCTTTACCAGATACCGCAACACGTGATAACAAAGAAAATTCTCTCTACCTAAATCTTTTTAAGCCACGATAATACAGTTGAACCTTGATAACTCGAATCTCAAGGGAAGAAAAAACCCTTCGAGTTATATAGATTTTCGACTTATCGACATTCGAGTAGAAAAAGGTTAACATATGAAAATTCGACTTACGGAGGCTTTGTACGAGAGTTTATAATTTTTCGATTATAATGGCTTTTAGAGGAAAAAAATCAATATCTGACAGTGAATTATTTATTGCATACATAATTATATGTAATAATAAATGTAATCATAAAACAAAGTCCCAGTCTATTAATCATGATTACACATAGCTATACAACTTCGAATTATAGAGCAACAACAGAACAACAGTAACAATAGAAGTTCGACTTATTATATTACAGAGGTGAACTTAGACTTGTAGAGGTCTGGCTACTTTAAATTCGAGTTGCAGAGGTAAAATAATACATCTAAATACCTGACAAACAATTCGAGTTAAGGTTTTATTTCGATTTAGAGGTTTTTCGCAGTGGAGCGAAAGGGAATGAACAAAATTTTTGTCTTATAGAGGTTTTCGAGTTGTAGAGATTCGGACTTATCGAGGTTCGATTGTATAATAGTCATTTTTTTTGGTCTTGACAGATAAACTACACGAAAATGATGTGACATCTGCATTACAAAAATACAATTGTATATTAGTTGATATATTTCAGTTTATACACTCTCATTTGCAACAATATCACTAAAAAATTATCATTTTGAGTTGCAGGCAAAGAATGAATATAAAGAAAGAAAAAGAGAAAACGTACTTTAAAAGAATATACTTTTATTCCTCTGCAATCAGTTATTACATCAAAGATGCATTTCGAAATTGATAATACAAAATTTTAATGATTCAAAACATTGAAATTTATTTTCTAGAAATTTCAAAAATCTTTGTTTTTCTCGAGTTGTATTGATTATAATGTAGCAAATGAGCGATATATGTATATTACGGTATAAATATTCCTGTGGCGTTCCTATTTTCGTCGTTTTATTTGAGAAATATTTTATTTTCACGCTACACATAATCCGTTCGGTTTTCAGTAATCGTCACTCTCAGTCGAGTTTCGAAAACGCTTGAAAGATATTTGCGCATGATCCAGTTTCGCGATTCTTAAAACACAAGATTTACATAGCGTTAGATTTACATAGATTACGAATGATCGGGGAAACGCGTTATCTCCATAATTCGCGATATTTACGTCGTGATAAATGCATTATGTACGCACGCACTTCAACCACGTTTCGGCGAGCTTGAGCGATACGTGTCAACGCCGTAATGGCTGAAAGTCGTAATCGCGGCTTTCAACAAGAACAAGAGCTGAGCGAACTGTTAAGTGAACGCCCGTAAAGATTCGTTGAATGTGTGTTATGCTAAGTGGGCAAGGCGTTTACTTATACGCCACGGTGGAGTTGGGAGCACGCACTGGAGATGCTATCGAAACGGTTTCCTTGTCGTGTCGGCGCTATTTGTGCAGCGTCGCGGCAGCTCGTAGAAAATGTAAATTATATTCATTAAACGACGGATACATCGCAGTCACGTACCTCGTTCATTGTCAATTTTTATTTTGCCTCTTGCACAACTAGTTTCCGCACTGAAATATTCAACGATGCAACTGCAGTTGCGCCACGAAAAACGCTGTCAAAGGCTTCGTTCAATTCTTATCTTTCGTCTAAAATTAAAATTCTTTAAAATTCGTACTGTCAAAATTATATACCCAATTTGAATCACTTTTAATCAATTTTAATCAATCCTATAATATATAGATCATTACTGTTCCTATACTCAATATATTGTCAATTTAATCAAAACAAAATGGCGTTGAATAATTTAACTCAAGAAATGTATTAAATTTGATTTAAATTTAGTTAATATAAACATTGTTTACTTTAAAATTGAGCAATAGAAATGGGTTGATCAGATGTGATTATTGTTTTAACCTCATGTTTCGAATTAAAATAATATACATTTTGACACACATGGAAGTTAAAAATAAAAAAACGTTATTTAATTCAAGGAATTGGATTAAATTTGCTCTTTTACAGTATTTGACAGTGTGCTATTATATTTTAATAATAATAACTTATTATATTATATTCTCTATTAATTTATTATATGCGGCAAACTAGGTCATATGCGTGTTATTCTTTATACCGATTAGAAACTTAACTTGCCCAGAGATTAGATTAACTCTGTTTGTAGGTCATCTGATCTTGTATTTTCATATTTTTATAGCAGGAATACATAATCATTTCCTTCAAGATGATACAATGAATCATCCTGCGTTTAATAGACCACATCGAGTATTGTAGAAGGAGCTTTTTTAATCAAACTTAATAAATCGGCAAATCATCTTACATCTTTCATGATTATTGTAAATGAAATAAATACAGCAAACGTCTATGTGTTTTAATCAAAAAGCTACTTGTATACTTCAAATTGATAAATTGACGAATACTCTTGACATCGTCATTTTATCGTATCATTCGTGGCAGTACGACAATATTACGGGGAAAAGGGGGAGGCAAGCGTTTCTACGAAATTATGAGATAAACACGTACCACTTAATGAAGTTGAAGGAAACCCGTTTAGTGCGTGAAGTGATGCGGAATATCTGCGTTATTATGTTACAGTGTAAATTGCGCGCGACTGACAATTTTTCGATGCGGAGATTCTCGTCTCCAGCATGACTCCTGCATTACTGAGATTGAAGCAAATCAACAGTCGAAAAGTGATTGGATTTGAATTGTAAATACGAGTAGATTGTGATGACACACACACATACACACACACACACACACACACACACACGCGCGCGCGTTTAACATTCGACAACATTACGTTCTATAAAATAAAAAAAATCGGTTTCCCGAGTTCTAATATATTGACTTTTCCAATCGCCAGATTGGCTTTAATTAACTGTATATACAAGTAAGGGATGGGAGAGCAAATAGTGACGGATTTTTTCTTCTCTTTCCTACAAGTTAATTTCAAGTTTATAAGATATGATTTTTCACTAAAAGAATACTTTCCACTTTCAAATATACAATAAACTTAATTAGAGTTTTCATAAGTCATATACACGGGCTAGATTTTCATAAAAATTGAGACCTACATTTGTCACTATTTGTCCCACCCTATGGGTAAATAGTGACACCCTATGGGACAATTATAAAATACATAATTCTTAACTCTTAATCGATCTTTCTTTTGAGATTTTCATTAAATAAGGTAATTTATATTAATTTTTATACTTTGCCATATGTAAATTTTTATTTATTAATAAATAATAGTAGTAATATTATTTGCTAGTATTTTTTATTGAAAATTACATTTTTTCTGAATCTTGCCTTGTAACTAATCTCACATTATTCCAAATAAATTAGAAAAATCATATTCAAATATTAAAAAAGCTTTTTAACTGGTCATTATTTACCCAACTAAAAATTGTCATTATTTGCCCCAGGAGCTACTTTTTCCTTTAAAACTTTACTGAGAGAAATAAAATTTAATATACAAGCACAGGAATTATATGAAAATAGAGGAAAAAGATACTGTATGACATAGAATAGGTTAGATCTCATTCAACGATTCAGCAATTAAGAAAATATAACTTCAAATATTAAAAGAAAGATCCAGGTTTTACCTTATTTCACGAATGCAAAATTTTGAAACTTCTCCGCTAGCTATATTTGGCTTTTGATTTTTACGGCTTTTTCAGAAGATGATTAGATGCTTGAGAACTGTCTTTCTATTAACGAGTAGTAGTAAAATAGATGCGGGTAAAAGGAGAAATTTAAAGTGACACTATTTGTCCCCCTCTCCTCCTTCCCTTACGATATCACTCGCGATCGAGAAGAGAAAAAAAGGAGGAGAGTTGGAAGAAAAGCGCGCAAGAACATAATTTGATCAATTTATTTAAATAATTCATTAGCCTGCACGCCGTCAAAGGATCCCGTAATGACGTAATTGAATCGTCATTATGCGTAAAAGGTATCGTAATTACAGAGACGGAATCGTTGTAAATATCGGATGAAACGTTATCGTCGGGCTATTTGTACTAGGCCTGTTAACAGGACAACCTGCTCGACTCGTTCTCCGTCTCTCTTTCTTTTTTTGATTAATCATCAATAACCTCGGTGTGAAGTTGAGCATCGGTACCGGATTAAAGATGACGCGTCTATCTCGCGTTTATATAGCCTCCATTCTATCAACGTTTCGTGTAGCTACGACAGAGCTTTCATTTAATCCTTTAAACACGATAATGAATTGGAGACGACACTGCGTGAAGCCTCTCGCTCGATTGGACGATGCATGAAAAGAAGTAATCCCTTCGGCGATTTAAATAATTTGATAAACTACTTCGTGTAATTTCGTGTACTTTTCGCAAAATTTGTATGTCATCCTGTCAGATAGGATTCACCACTGACCGCAATCCCTCGGGAAGTTTTCGTGATTGATCGATCTCGCGAGAGGATATAAAATAATGACTGTCCTCGTCCCAAAACATTAACACTAATCGATTCGGAAGATCAGCTCCGTCCTCCGTCAATCGGATGATTGATATTTCGATCTAACTTTGGAAACACGATTATTATACTCATACTTTATCGTAGAGGATAATTAGATATGGTTAAGAGCAATTGCACCCGTTTTACAATTAATTTTATCCCCGTTTACGCGGACTTACGATCGGCATATGGCCATTAAGGCATCGTGCCAGCAGATAGCGAGTCGGACGATTGGCTTTCGATCGTCTCGGGTCAGGCTTTAAACACCGTTATTGTGGTCGATTCATCTTACGAGTCGATGCTTGACTTACTTCACTGACCCGGAGACCTAGTGAATGTGTTCTCGTGAATATCAAATGAGTGTATCGTGCAAAAAAAAAAATATAGGGTACGATCCGTGGCAGCGATAATATTTTATGCGATTAACGCGAATTTTCGAATATTATCGCATGCGTTAAATATACAGTCTTGGCCACAAGTATAAAGTGCCCTCAATTTACTGCACTTTCTTGGAAAAGACGATAATAAGAGCCAAAGCAGGATTAACAATAAAAAAAATTGAAATGCTATAGAAAAAATTAATTATTTAGTTCAACTTATTATTGCGAAAATTATTTTTTAACAAAACTGTTTTTAAATTTATTTTTCGTTAAATATAAAACATTAATTATGTTCAATTTGTGGGAACGATCAGAAATTTAATATTGCAGAAAGCTACACGGAAAGAACGATTTTGCTGGAAGATAGAAAAAAAAATCTGAAAATAATTTTTTTTGTAACACAATCAAAATAATTTCGTTGGAAAGTCAAACTGATTGTTAGAATATCTAAACTTTTTACAGTAATGCTTATTATTTTTGAGTTTTCAACAAAATATTTTGATGGTACTCTAAAAATTATTTTCAGATTTTTTTTATCTTCCAGCAAAATCGTTCTTTCCGTGTAGTGATCAATTATTTATTTTGAATATTAAAAGTTCTGAACAACAGTGCTTTTAGTACTCGAAATAACTAATTTCCAGTATTAAATTGGCTAGTATATATTAAAATAGATTTCTGCATGTATACTTAAAGGCCAGAGCTGTAATAACGCGAGCACTAAAAGCGCGCAATAATAATTCTGCAATCTGGCATCTCATACACGTACGTTCGCTTATTTGCATGCAAATCGCGACATAACATACATTTGATGGACTGTAACTGGCGGCTCGTAAAAATTAAATAAAGATTTATATATATATATATGTATATATAAACTTCTACGTATATATGAACTCCTATGTCCGACGCGATTCTCGTCAGGTATAAGACATTAAAATAAATATGTTAAATGTCTTCGCTCGAAAATAGTTTATTTTTAATACGCATTTCACTTCGTATATTACACAAGAAATCCTATCTCGCGCGTCGGTCTGAAATACGCACGAATCTTGAAATACATACGTATTGCAATATACGGTCGCAAATAATTCTAAGCGCAGCATTTGAAATACGAGATTGCGATAATTTGCATTTTATCGCAGGAGCTTTCATATCCGGATATTTGCATCTTTCTCTCTTGCAAATTGCGATATATTTGCTTTGACGGATCGGACATCAAAGGACGTAGGGCACTCAGCGGCGGCATTTCGCGTTAGTGAATTATTCCGCTAATAACGTCCAGGTTTCTTCGCGTTCCTTTTTTTTGTTCTTTGCGCGAGTTTCGCGATTTAATCTTGTAACTTTATGACGCTGCCACGTTCCAAATATAACTTTATACATTTTGTGCAATTCAAATTGCGGCAATATAAGATAATTCTGTGCACAAAATTTACATTTTATGGACGCTGCGGAATATTTCCTGCTTTCTCCACGTTCTTTGTATTTTTTGCGTATAGCAAGAGACTTGATTTATTCGATCGAACAAGTTGCATACCAAGGATTTTAATACCGGACTATTTTGTTAGTCCTGTTCAATGTATCCGAAATCCGCGATCGAAATCCGCGTTTTCGATGATGACATGAGAGATGATAATGATGATAAATCATTATTTATCAAGCGCTCCGGGATAAATTCCCCTTAAGCGCAGATGACTTAAGTACATAAGAAAAGCACGCTGTAATCATGTTTGCAAAGATTTACAGTGAGTGACAAGATTTGCTATTTATAATTAATAAGAAATTAAAATTAAATAAATTATAAGGGTAGAATTATAATAACATAAAAAAATATAAACTGAAAATAAAGTAACATAAAATAAAATTAAATAAATGAGATTACATTAAAATAAATAAAATTAAGCATTAATTGCCGAATGGTGATCGAACAGAGAGAGAGAGAGAGAGAGAGAGAGGGGGGGAGAAGGAGGGGGGGAGCAACAGTTTTAATTAAAGCGCGATGATTCACATTTATCTGCCGCGACGAATATTCCTCGCAATATTATATCCTGAGATTGGCTGTTAGAAATGCAGAAGCGAGAGACAGAAGGCTGCTTCGAGAAATCGTGCGGATGAGAAAGCTGACGGGAAGATTCTTAGGAAGAGAAAATGGATGATTAATCATGGGGCTCGCGTAATAAGCCATTAGATTCCCGTAGTTCGCGCGCGCGCGCGCGCGCGCGGACGACTGCGAGATAGTTTCCTCAGGCTAATAAAGCCTGCACACAATCGTTTCCCTCTTTCCCGCCCTCCCCTCCTCCTCCTCCTCCCCGCGGAAGACGATGAAAACCCTGACCTAGACTTAAGTAGGTATGGAGGTAAGGTCGAGGTCACTTTCGTGTTTCCCGTCCTCCCGCGGTGAGAGGGTACGGAAGTTATAAGCGCGATTACAGATCCGCCGCGCTGACGAATCGAGCAGCGAGAGAGAGAGCTTTCACTTCGAGTTGCACGGTTGCGGCGCCGTCGACGGCTGTCATCGGGACGAGACCGGTAAAACGATGTATATACATGTAGCCGAAGGACTTGAAGAGATAACTGCGCTCTCCTTTCGAGACGACTCGAGATCAATCGACTGGAAGCGCGGTTAATAAGTCGTGAAAAGAGGCCTCCGTATATCGCGTGGAATATAGAATTATCGATATGACTTTCGCTTCGTTCCCATTCTCCGCATCGCGCGCGTCGATCGAAACGCCACTTGGCACGACTGAAGATCGCGTTGGCTGCTGCTGCTGCTGCAAGTCGGCAGCGAGACGGGGAGGATATAACAAAGGTCGGGGGGTCAAACGTCGGGATATATTCTCCGTAAAACAATCCATTGAACGCACTAAACGCCGGCGTGTCCGTCCGCTCGCAGCGGCCAATGGCAGGCTACTAATTAAGGGCTCCAGGGTCATCATTACCGAGTCTCATTGCCGTTGAGTAGAGGCGATTTAACGTTTACCTAACCATCAATGGCTATCTAAACGCTCGCGGGATTTGCCGATTTTCGTGATTAACCAGAGCAATCGAGAAAATTGATTAATGATGATGTTGGAAAAATTGTATCGATTTTATTAAAAACTTACGTTCTTGCGAGAAATAGGATAAGGGTACTCTTTAGACGCGGGGATCGGGCACTTCCGAATAATTTATTATAAATAATTCAAATAAATTGAAGAACTAAAGACTCGTGTAGGAATAAATCAAATACGGTATATTGAAGTAAGATCTATCGAGCCGACACGGGGTGTTGATGTGAATTAATTTTTACAATATTCAATCATGTACCAACTGCGCGCCGCAATATTTATCGGTCTTGAAACACAGTTCTTATACACGAAGCCGCAATCCACTTGTAACTAATTAAATTGACGAGCAATTTAATATATTTTGATGCTAATGTGCATTTATAAGAATCTCTTCCTCTGAATCTGTAGAGAAATTTACCCGTGTCGGCTCGACAGGCTTTATTTCAATATATTTGATATAAATAATTATTATAATTTTCATCGACTGTCGCATAACACATAAATTCTTTAGCGTTTGTATTAGCTTTCAATCAATCGACAACTGTTTTTTTTTTATTTATTAGCAGCAACGCTACACATTTTATTGATATCATGAATATCAGTAATAAAATATGAAACTTTAATTCAGAAATATGTCTTTAAAAATTTACTCAAAGTTTAACCTGTAAAGACTATCTTATGGTTTTTACAGGAGGTAGTAAATAGCGTTAGATTTCATGGAAAAAACAAACATGATCAATTAAATATGTT